TGAGCTCGAGGCGTGAAAAGAAAACAATTTTTTAAAGGTATGCCAAAAATGTCAAAATGCATACGTTGAATATGTAATAATTTACGGTTCAATAATTTTATGGGAAATTAAAGTTCATTACCTCGGCCGTGGGAATGCATTCAACAAATGGCTGGATTTTGTTTGCAATCCTTATCTTATAGACTAAAATACCGTTCCAAATACTTTCAGGGGTTTATGTACACACGGAAAATCAAATATAATGCCTATCATCCGACGTAGCAAATGGCTCAATAAAAAATCCGAAAAATCAAGCTCCCGACCATAATTGCTTTAACTAGGGCAGTAAATAATAAGACCAACGACATTTTTACTGTTAAAATATATAATGATTTAAACGAAAACAGTCCCAGTTATTTCTGCATAATACTGCAACCACCTGTTATTAAACCCATTTTACGTAATGATACCATCGGGGACCGATTTCCATTCAGTTAGAAAGGGTTTATGTGTGGTTTGCCAAAGTTTAATATTTAAGAAACTCTCACTTCTTTATGTTTGCCACCACATAGTTCAATTACTCTAAAGAGAATTTTCCACAGCAGATTTTTTTATTTTTTCAAACCACGAATAAAAATACCTGAAATAACCCTATGTATAATACTCCACTTACCTCTCTCAAATGTATTGATATCTGTTGTTAATTTTACCAAATTGACCACATTTTGATAAACTGTATTAATGGGAGCTACAACTACAAGTAATAAAATCGCATCACTAAATTGCATGCTAAATTAGAATTAAAGTTTCAGTTGATGCGCAGCTTTCAAAAATACACTTATATGTGCGGGTTTCATCAACCGTTTATTACCTATGTACAATTAATTTACAAACCGGCTAAATAAGTTCTGTCCGTATCCTTTCTCTTTTTTGCCTAATAATAAAGGACAGAAAGGAAGAAACTATTTGCAATAGTCCTTACATTATGCAAACTTCTTTGCACGCTTTATGAACTGAAAAATTGTCATTGTTTTACTTAATTAGTAGAAGGACTCATTGGTTCAGTTCATGCTGAAAAAGCACAGGTTATTAAAATAAATGGGCAAAGGTTATGCAAATACGCACAGAGCACATCAAATACTCAGAACACCTACAATTTGCAACTTTCCTTTCAAGTTATAAATGAAAATATCTGACTAATCTGAAATTTATCTGAAAGGTCAGAATGTTTTATTTTAAGTGAACGTAACCAATAACATTTTCTAGAACATTTCAGATATGAATGAAACAAAGTTGGACAAGGAGAGGACATAACTCGTATATTCTCCTCTATTGGTAAAAGTCATCAATTGATTCCTTCGCACCAGTAGCATGTTATAGCATTTTTTATGCAAGAAAAGAAAACAGAAGGATTCATGTTAACAGTCTTTGAGTTCCCACGAACAGGCTACTTTTATGATGGACTCCAGTAGGACTTGGAAAGCTCAAACGAAAAGAACCATGATTTCGGTGGTCGACATGCCTTCTTCGTCTCTATCTTTACACAACTCTGCGGTGTAAAAATTCGCCTCAACTGCTAAGTACAGCTGAAAAGATTAATTGGCAGTCGAATCGACCCACTGTGTGAGTCATTGTAGATATGCATGCTTGATTTGATAAGGTTATTTTTTTTTCAACATTGGAGTAATTTATTATCACATGTTCGCCGTTGTCAATATAACTGACATGAACATTTCACAGATGATCAGCACATCAGTATTGTCATACAATTATCACCTTCTCAAAAAACTCGCAGGAATTGCTAGATTGATCTGGTGTACTCGCTGATAAAACATCTATTTAGATAAAACAGGGAAACGAGCCTGAATGTAAGTAAAAGCAAAGGTTTGCATCCCAGGTATTTGTCTAGAAGGAGTCCTTGCGATCACCGGTATTGCAATTTTATTCTTTCGTGCTCTCAGGCTCTTTGTGGGACTTCAGCATCAGAGATAAACCGTCAACGAAAAGCGAGCCTAAAAATCTCAGAAGAATAAAAGTGTAATTCCGGTTATCGCAAAGACCCCTTCTTCTGAATATAAGTGTCTGCACGCGTAGCTGCAGTGAGGTGTAATTATGTCAAAGTCGCTCTCGCACACCATCTGATGCCGCCTTACATTTCCTCAAAGTTCGAAATGGCGATCTGTTAGATGAAGAATGCGTTCGATGGCAGCTGCTTCGTAGCTCATCAACAAACATAAAGTTTAATAGGAGATCTATTCGACATCTGAATTCTGTCATGAAAAATGTATTTGACACGTTATTATTTAGTCATTCCTTGATGAAGCCACACTCATTAACGACTCAGAGGTGAGCCAACAATCTGCTTTTTTACCGGGTCTGAATGCCGTAACTGAAAATTTTGTTAAATTCGCTCTTTTGCAATTATCAAATTTAACAAATTCAACTCAACTTTCCCTCCCGTTACTCCTATTTCATGTCCTCCGTCATAATTCGCCGGAAAACAAAGATCGCTTGCTGGAAAACCCAAACATCTGTTCAAGTAATGTTTGAACTTCACCTTCGCTTGTATAGTCTGGTTTCAATTGGTGTTGTAATTGACCCTTTTGACAGAACAGGTACTAGCGCAGAGCCAATACATGTGTTCCGCCGATATTCTGCCGCTGTCTGATACAGCTGCGAGAGGTCCGACTCATCAGTGGGTCTCCCAGTTTTCACCGTTTGCTTTGCGGTTAATATACCAATACATTACAACAACAACTTACACTACTGTCAACCGGTTGGCAAAATGTCTATATTATGCAGTTGGCTCACAGTGAGTGATGAAATTCGGCCCAAATATATCGATCGGCTTTCGGTCTATGCCTTTAGACCTTGAATATGCTAATTTATAAGGAGAGAAGAAATAAACTTCTACGGAAATTAAAAAGATGAATGGTCTAGATTAACATAATTTATTCGAAGGCACAGAACTGCCCCTACGTTCTGCTGAATAACCTTTGGGGAGCACCAACAGTGTATCATGCAAAGACTTTCTGGATAAATATAACAATTGTCCTACCGTATATTCTGTAATCTTCCAAGACAGTTAACGCGATGCCACAAGTGAACACTTTGGGTTTTCATCACTTCGCATACAAATTGGCCAGATGGTATTTCAACTATGGACACAGTAGAGCATGTTAATGTGCTCGGAGTAAGATCCTTTGTACTGTCCTCTTTTTATTACCTAGGTCACTTTTATTTGCACATTGAACACATTATTATTCGGCAGTACCAGAATAAGGGCGTGCAATGTAGACCACTATTCTACAATAGCTTTTGAATATTTTCGCTTTGCGCACGAAGGCTATAAGTAAACCGTATCTTACAGCTGAACATATTCGAAAATATCCTCCTCGAGCACCAACTTAGAAATCCATTTTATTAGTGTTTCTCCTATTCCCAGATGATATGTCTATAGAGCGCTATGCGTACGTCGGTAGAGGTTTACTGAACGGATTCGAATGCCACATGACGGAAAAGAGTAGTCAAACCCTGATTAGGTATTTCGCGTCTCTCACAATAGGAGTCCCTCGGTGGACAAAATATACTATCCCTAAGTAGAAGAAGGAAGCCGTTGTCAACCGGATTCAGTGAAGCTGACAGATTGACAGCTAAATATAGCGAATGAATGAGCACCTGTTATCCCTATACAGATCGGAACGCAAGTGAGAGGAAGAAACTCATGTCCGCAGTTTGAACGCCGTTGACGCCGTTGCCATTTTCGGCCGGCGTGATGACAACACGTTAAGCCAGGTAAAAGAACCCCGGATATCTACCGCCTGCTTAGTCAACCGCCAAATTTATTTGGCTGCCCGTATCTGGTTTCACGAGCCTTCTTGGTCGGAGACAATCAAGCCATGGAATAATTAGGGCAGCATATTATCTCTGCGTCTGACGAGGTTGATAATGAAACGAACCCTTGTAAGATGTAGGCTAGCGTAGCGTCGAACTGAGTTAATGCGGACAACGGGGGTGGCGACACAAGTAATGCGATGGCATGCGTCAGACGCAGCGGCATAGTCGGTATTGGCAGGCAAAACGCAGCATATAAGGAAGGCTGTGAGCATGACTTTCCATACTTGCATCCAATGAAGCTTTCCAGGTGAACGCCCCTTCTATTTTTAAGTGAAAACCCTCTATCTACAAACCAGCAATCTCAATTCTTCGACTGGTTTACCTGTTAGTTTGTACATTTACAAGAACAAAAAATACGAATGGCGTGTCTTCCTACATCTACTTTTTTGTAGACAGAGCGTTTAATGTCCCGCATAAAATGTTTCAATTTTATAAATTTTGCTACAAAACCACTTGTAATTATCTGGTCTGCAACCCTTAGTATATAAATGTGCAGATGTTTGTTTTTGTAAAGTCAAATATCTCCATTTAATTAAGCTATGCATCATCAAGTGCGAAACGAAATCACTAAATCATTGAGTGTAAATTTGTAAGTAAGCCTCAAAAACTAAATTAAGACCATTTTAAAACTGGCTACAAAACGTCTAAATAAACTTGAAAGCGAGAAATTTTTCTAGCAGTTTCGCATAATTAATGTGGGTCATTTCTAAGAAGCCTGCGGCAGCGGATTGTTTACAAACTTCTTAAAGTCATTCTTCGGTAACGATCTAAGACTTTGTCAAGTGAAGCATGACCTATCAAGAGGTTGTTAAGGACGAACTTAATACAGAAAAGAAGAATTTGTTTTCGTAGTTGTTGCTCTTGATTATGTCGTCAGTTGCCCTCCTCCACAGCATGTCCCGCATGCTTGACAACAAGAACTTTGGTAAGCAATAGAATCTGCTCTGTTGATCACTCTAGCAAATGTGTTCTAACCGTGACGTCTGCTAAGTAGACATATACTTTATTGCAAAAAAAACAATAAACATAGGAAATGTCGATGAAAATATGGTAAAACAATTCTTACCATATATACGAGTGCGTTCGAGGCTGGCTCCATTACATATTGGACGGTTGAGAGAACGCTCGTTATCAAACAGGTTAGGACGGATGTAAACCTGCAGAGAAATAAAAAATATACTCGTCTAATTGTTAAGGAGTATTTCCATACTTCTGTCATGTTGGATGGGGATAATCGGTAAATGTACTAATTTGCTGTTTCTTTAAATACCGTATAGTATAAATGACGTGAAGATTCGTCATTCACCAAATAATCGACTTTTTTGCACTTGCAGTAGTTAGGAGAGATTTGATCCCGTGGTTTTATAATATTTAAGTGCTCCTATCCGGATTGTACTTAGCATATTTGTTTCCAAGTCGCAGGTGGTGTTGCGGGATAAGCTTCTCATTAACTCAGCAACCAGCTTGCGGATTTGCACCAGTCTTATTTTATTTGGAACGGGTCTGAAACGTCTGCGGAAGCAATATTAGCACAGTTTAATTGTCTCATGCTTTTCTACGAGTACCTCTGATTAATTAATCCCGACGGAATCCGAAACGTGAGGACAATAAAGCTCTCATTCCATTGATCGCTCCTTCTTCTTCAGTTTAATTTATTTCGCTTTTTATGCTTTAATCGAGTTCCTTATGAATTAATAAAACTCTCTTTCATGCATAAATACAGAACTCCCAAATAATCAGATTTGAAATTGATTTTCTCCATGTGATACGCGAACCTATCTCAAGCCGTTTGGGAAGATAACCTTCAAAGAATAATAGCGTTTATTTGAATGACTGGTGGACGATATTTTGCAAAGCCTTTTATAAGCAGATTTCGTTACGCATGCTCGAATTACGTGCGTCAAATGCGGAAATGTCAAAAATTAAACGACATAATCAAAGGTGTCTACATGAGCGCAAATAGAGTGTTATGATGATGTAAGAGTCTGACGGAAGATTATCACTGTTCTTTTGTTGATTTAAATACATGAAATGTCCGTTAAAGTTATTGGTAACCTCGGTTTCATGAGTATTACTAACAGATACGAAAATGTCAAGAAAAATATGCGATCGCTGTACAAGAACTTTAGTCACCCGAATATTCTCATTTGTCCTCGAATCACGTATTACAGACAGTTAAGAAAATTTTTAATCATATAGGATCTACTTTTTGTAAAGGAGGGGTTTGTTGAAAGTGATTTAGCATATACCAAAAACTAGTGCCGTTTTTACTATAGTTTTACTATCAACAGTACAAATTGCATCGTATCTAGCCAGCTTTCGATGTTTTGATAAGGCGTTATTAATAGACGTCAATTCTTTCCTCAAGACAATGTCAAATTCGTGAGCTAAGGTTGCTAACCATTCACCATATTTATAAATTTTGTAACAAACTTTATCTCAAAGAGTTTTTTTGTTTAAGGATACCCCTGACAGTGTTAGTCGGCAAAAGGTTCCAAACGACGCATCCTTTTCTATTTCACTTATTTTTTTCCTATATACACGGAGCTGCCACTAACATTTTACTTTTAAATGTAGAATAATTATATCCAGTTTCCAGATCAAGAGACTATATGCCAATGCAATATGCTAATTCTAAGAAATTATTTGGCAGATGAACCCCCTTATGAATTCATAGGCATCCATAGTGAGTCATGCAATTTATTTTAAATTCGAAGTCAAATTTGCCTCATGCATCTTCTCTGGATAACTCGAAAGGTTTTTCACAAATTTTGCTTTTCACAAAGGTTAAGGCCTTAGCCGTGAATATGCACTCATGAAATGCAGTATATCTAACGTTGCTCAACAACTTCGGCAATTTGTTCAGTAACACGCGGTATGCTTATTATTGGCTAAGATGGGCAAAGTGACCACGCACGATAGACAGAACAATTTCGCTTACATTACGTAATACCTCTTGACAGTGCGCATCTTTATTTTTACCCAAAAATGCAATCACGAACTGTTATCAGATATAATGCAGTTAAACTATGACTTTAAGTATTTCTAACGAACTCTATTTTAATGTGCTGCACAGTTTTATGCAGAAACATGTAGGAAACATAAATGACGTACACGACAATGTGGTATGCAATCGATGCATGCGATTTAGGTCTTTCTAGGAAGTTGTACACAATAGCCTGGTACTTCCGATAATTTGACTCCTTCCCGCTCACCAGCACCATCAGCGCCTTACCATGCAGGGAAGTTCGCCGAACAACATTGTTAGCGTCACAATATTCCAAATCGGATTGCTTCCTTTGTTTCATTAGTTCCTTAACTTGGTTCCTGCAAAAATATATCCACTTTGCTGGTTTTAATAAGTCCCACACTATGTTCACAGTCCTGCGAACACGTTTCGATTGAAGTCGTACGAAGTTCGCAAAAATGTACGTCAGATTGCATGCACAGTTATGTTTGTTTGGATGCACTGAAGAGTTCAGGTCGGTCAACCTGGAGTTTGGATTTAAACAAATCAGTCAGGCGGACGTTGGGGCTACTTGCACTTATTGTCACATTATAAATCCGCTTAAAGTAAATTGGGTGTTATTACCGGCAATGAAAGAGTAAGCTTACGGGCCTCGATTAACTCTTCTGTAATTGGCCGTTATGGCAAACTGTGCATGACAAAACAGATGTCAAACGCTGATTGGATAAAAGCCGACCAATGGGAAACACCTTGTGTCCGAATGCTAAGTAACGTTTGCGTTGTTGTTGAGATTCTAAGGACAACAGCATTCTTTTAAATAAATAATGATACCGCGAAAAAAACGATAGGCATGTTTTGAAAAATGTACATAACTTGTTTTTAGTTTTTTTTAGTTTTTTTTAATGATACTATATTCTGTGCAGTAAAATGAGGCTTTGTCCCTCGGCAACGAGGAAAATACCATGGTCCTGGTCGGCAAGTACTTCTACTAAACATTTCTATCAGTCTTCGAAGGCATCTAGCGCGAAATGTGATAAGTTATAATAGACCGCTCGTTATGTCGGCCGAGGGTATTTGCTTCATTCGTCTTAGTGCGAACTGATTCTAATGCTGCTGTTCTCTGGGAAAATTTTTAATAGTAGCCGTGTTGAGAGAGACCGGAACATCTTCACTATTTCCTCAATTGGCTCCCATGGTTTCGAGCTGTGATCTAGTATGTCTATTATTTTGGACTGTTGTAGAGGCAGCCTGTGGGACATTATCCACATTGCTGTCCTAATCACTGTTTGTCGCGTACAGACTCCTGCAGGGTACAGCAGCTTGAATCTGATTTTCTACTTTTGGTTCTTACAACCTCCCAGTCTCGGAGTCATTCTTTTTGCAAACCTGACAGAAAAATCTGATCTTAGG